AGCTGGAAGCAGTGCATACAGCTGCTGTTGGCATTCTCAATATGATTTGATCCCTTGACTGTTCCTAGACTGTGCCTGTACTTTTCCATCCCTATTACTAGATCCATCATTCCCACTAATTTATCCTAAAAATGATGGACTCTTTGCAAGTGCAAAACCCTGAGTTCAAACTCCAGTTCCACCAAAAAAAAAAAAAAAAAAAAGATGATGGCAGATTAGGGTTGCTGCATAGGGCCATAAAAACATCAGTCTACTTCTGATCTCCTCAGAAATAATGGTTGTAGTTTCTTCTACTGCTCATGTACATCACAAAGATGATTTTCATCTTACCTTGTGATCAGTCATAGTTTTTATGGTCAGTCCCTACTGAAGCTCTTTTATTACAGAAGGACAGGCATTGCTGGCAGAGGAAAACTTAGCTAAAATAAATTTTTTGACATTACCAAAAATTAGTTGAATTTACTGGTGGCCACCTTATTTTTGAAATGTTCAAGTCAGTCATTGTTCATACAACTTGAGTACAGTGTGCACTGTTATATTCTGAACTGCCACTGTGAAGATTTGTTTGCTGGGGTTGAAGGACAGAGCAAACTTCAGATGAAAAATAGCCTCAGGGTACCAGGGCAACAGAAGAGCCACTCAGAGGCTGCCAGCCCTTTTCCCTGGCCAATAACAATAGCAAAAGTGACAGCAACAAAACAAATACAAAAATAACTGTTGATGTGCCCACATCACAATCACTGCATCTGCACAGCAACAGACCAGTTGTTACCCACTGAAATTTCCCTTACTTACACGTCTCCTTTCTATGAGCACTACCAGAGTGGTGGTCTAAACCAGCAGTTACCCTCTCAACCTGTTTCTATGACCACAAGGACATTGTGACAGATCAATTTTCACATTTCTTAGTGAAATTCTTAATGTCCTGTGCAATATTTAAGTGGAAAAATGGATGTGCTTTATATTAAATGGGTCTTGAAACTTCTAATCACGAGAATTTGTGAAGTCACTTTGTGAAGGAGCTTAAGCCTCCTTCTCCTAAATTGGGATGTCTACTTTCCAGCTTTATATGATGAGAACAGTTGAGACTTTGTACTTGCTGCTCAAATCCAGGACAGTCTAAAGGCCACCACCGTGGATGCTAGGAGCTTAGGGTACCTTTGCCTACAAAGCAGGAAAGGGAGGATTTACTTCTTGGCAAGAGTACAACAGCCAGTAGACAGAGAATTGGGCTTCAACGTTCAGCTCAGTCCTGACTTCTAACATCCTACAGATAGGGACCTGAGGCTGTTCAAATATTGCATTGAACTTCTATAGAACTTACATAGACTCATAAAAAGATTTGGATCTTTTAGTCCTGGATTGAAAGCACTGAGACTCTCTTTTCACTGCCTGTTATTTCCAGTGCGTCTGAAATATGAACGCTATTTAATCTTATGTAACAAGACCATAATGTTAATGTCAGAGATAAGATGAGAACCTGGGCCCTCTGGCTCCTTTTCCTGTTTGTTTTCTACTGAATACCTTTCATCACAACTTCTGTGACTCTGGAAATCTCAAGGAAGTCATATGTGGGGAATGAAGAATGGATTGCAACAGTGTAAACTCTCACCCCATCTATCAGAATTTGCAATCCTCATCATTTCTCTTTATTTTTCATACTTTATTTCTCCTTCTGCCCTCCTTAAGGAATCAATGAGTCCATACCTTTTATTTTATGTTAATCTCAATGGTTAAATGTCATGGTTGCTAGAATACTGATTGCACATGAAAGATCTTTCTGTTTGGATGTCAAGCAAGCTAAGAAATCCTTTGTTTAACTGATAGATTTTTGCCTTAATCATAGACCATTAGCAATCTTCACAAAGTGAATGGGTGTTTGAGTGCTACAAGGATATTTAAATTTCTTTTCACACCTGGAAGCAAAACTCAAAGAAGTCTTTCCATAGTAAGTGACTCTTATTACATATTATATACTGTATGATTGTTCACCATCAGGGACTGGAGCATACACAGAAGAAATAGTTACTTGCTAAATTGTTCTTTCTACATTAGGGTTTTCTTTTGTTTATTTGTTTGCTTGTTGTTTGTTTTTACTGTGCTGTGGGTTGAATCCATGCCCTTGTTCATACTAGGCAAGCATTGTACCATGGAGCTAACTCCCTTACATTCTACTTTAGGGTTTGTTATCTGCTACTAAACTTGTTTGTCCAAGCACTACTGTGGATGTCTGTTTCCCTAGTTGCAGCTGGATTTTAAGCTTTGGGTAGCCAGGAGCCATGATCAGAGCCTCTCCAGGCCTATGGTTATGATAGCCCTGAGGATGGTCATTGGGTTCAGTCCCAGGAGCTCAATAACCTAGCCTGGAACTTATTAATAACATTTCTGGAATTAAAATGTTGCTTTTTAACTCACACTAGGGAGGTACTAAGTCATAACATTTTTATTTCTGGATAGGACAATAGGTTTCTTATTTTTCATTAGGCTTTTGTTCTATCCCACACTTTTGTTACTTAACTAAAAGCCACCATGATGGTGAACTCCACTGTGATTTGTGTACTAGACACTTGAGTTAATTTCAGAAACAGAGCAAAAGAGAGAAAAAATGGTCTCAGGGCTCAGGGGTGAATTTAGTGAAGATTCTTTTCTAGTTAAACAAAGCCTGGAAGATTTTGAAGGCCCTGCCTGTTCGTCCCTGATAGTTCAATCTGAAAAGTCCCTCTAAATTTGATATGTTTTTATAGAGTACAGTAAAGTTTATAGGGTTCGTGCTGCCCAGTTCCTGATAGAGATTATTAAAAGATAGTGGAGAACATGATACTGCCAGCCTGAGTGGTTGATGGTTTAAAGCAAAAGAAACCAAATCACATATACAAAAATAACATCAGATAAACAAACAACACAATAATTACCTTTGTTTTCCTACAGGCTTCAAAGATTGCTGATTTCTTGAAGTTTGTGTTTCTTAGTCATTTTATTGCAATGACCATTTCTGTGTATAGACTAGAAGTCTCATTTTATATTCCTCAAATCCTGGGAAGGAAAGAGTTATCGACCTCAATTTAGAATGAAGTCCTTTAGGCTCAAGCATACCAATGTCACTGAACCAGAAGTCAGATCACAATCCAAATCTTTTTCTGACTAATGTGCCCGAAACCTTGAAGGACTGCAGAATGATTGGGGGCTTTAGTCTCTCTCCAAAGACAGATTTTCATCATGGGACAGCTTCCTGGGCCAACAGGACAAAAATGTGTAGGTTATCTAAGGAAAGATGTGGTGACTCACCTCACCTTGTTCACAGATGGTCCATGAATCAGAAGAAAGGCACTTGGGGTGGGGCTGTGGAGTATGAATCTGCACTTTCATTGCCCATTCACACCTGTTCTGGGAAAATCAGTGGAGTCCTGGAAGTGGCAGCCTGACAGGATTTAGAAGACCACATCATATGCATGTGCTCAAAAAGAAACCACACCTTTCATGATTGAAAAAGGAAGAGCCAGAATGAGACTTCACCAGAAATTCACAGACTGTCCACAGAATCCTAAAACTGATTCCAGGGTGATTCCTTATCCCTTGCGAGATAATGTAGGTGGACAGAGGGATATGGGGACCAAGGGTGTTCAAATCTGTATGGCTTAACATCCCAGTTAAGAACAATTCTTCTCTCCCAAATCATTGTAGAATGCTATAATACAGGCTTTTAGCAAATATTAATTTCCTTTCCTTTCACATTTATGGAATTGAATTTTTCTAGAGGCAAAGAAAGAATGATCATAAAAAGACTTTTAAAGAGAATGGTAATTAGACAAGGAGCAAATTTGCTGGAAATAAGAAAGCCAGATTCAGTGTCACTTATTGTCCTGTTATCACAGATTTGATTTAGTGCTTTAGAATTTTGAGGCCAGCATGTTACAGATCCAGAGAGGATATTTAGTGGGTTTTATTAATATGTTGCTGTACTTTCTATCATGTATGAATATGGAACATTGAAACTTGTTGAAGTCATTTTAAGCAGGGGAGTAGGGAAAGAGGGAGAATAATGAAAGGGATAGACCAAACAGTGGTACAACAAATGTATAAATGGAAATGTCACAATGAAACCCCCTGTACAACTATCATATACTAATAAAAACATTTTTAAAAAATCTGATGTGTTTTGACCATACAGATGAGCATTTGAGAAATTTCCAGAATCATTTGCTTCAGAAGTAATTTTTTATTAGTGCTAGTGTACTTAGTATTCACAAATGTTATTTTATCCTAGTAGTTAATTCAGGTAAGGGACTGTTACTATATCTATTTCCCAGAGAATTTGTGACTTGCCTAAGGATTCTCAGGCTTCAATCTGTTCTTATTGACACACATACTTCTGCTAAGACAAGAGCAAGTTTGCCTTCTAGTGACCTCCAATCAGAAACAATAAAATCTGAAAAGTTAACTGTAGCATTGCCTAAGCACTCATAGGCCCAATAAATAATGAATGCTTATTAAAGCATATTGACATGATAAATATTTTACACAGTGGATTTATAACCTGCAAGCTGGGGCTTGGAGGCTTCTTCTCATTTGCACTCCCTCTACTAGCTGTGTTCTCCAGGGAGTGAAAAATAAATGAACAAACAGATCTTGATGCAATGAGGAGCAGCTTGGTGGTAGAGTCAAATGCAAATTCCATGTTTGCATTCTGCCACTGGTTCCCAAGACATCAGTGCTTCAGGGCAGTGCCACTTTCCAGGAATCCCAGCTTAATAATGAACCTTTGAGAGAAGACTGAGGCTGGCAATGACCAGTCCCTTCTTTACCAAAATGCAGATAAGCATGTGAGTTTGACTCTTGTGTTTTGTGGAATTGGTATGAATAAAAGTTAGATGTCCAAGGAAAGGCAAAAAGTTGTTTGTGTGTATGTTCCTGTGTTTTCTTTTCTTCTTTTTTTTTCCTTTATGGTACTAGAGATTGAATCCAGAGCTTTAAACATGCTGCCACTTGAGCCATGTCCCTAATCCTTTCATCTCTATTTTGTTTTTGAGATAGATTTTCTCTAATATTGCTTGGACTGGCCTCAAACTTCCATCTTCCTGGCCTCTTCCTCCCATGTACGTGGGATTGCAGCCATGTTTCACCATGCCGGATTGATTCTGGTTTTCTAACTATTTCAATTCAATGAATCAAAGGTAAGAGCATCCAAAATAAAGGTCTTAAACAGCTGAGGCAGAGATCTCTTATAGATGCCTGGGCTTTTTGCCTCACCTTCCCTTCAACAGAGTCAGTGATAACTTTACCTCCATCTGCTTTTAAAGAAAGCTCCAAAATGTCTGACCTAGAAATGACACAGAATGTTAGGCTTGAAGTTCTTTTAAAATATAGCAGAAGAGAATATAGAACTAAGTTACAGGCACGTTATCTCAGGTGACCAGTCTCGGAAGTAGGACCTTTCATGGAGAAATTGCTTCCCAGTTAGTGCATTGCACGTAAAGCAGAGGAGTGCGGCGCATTTACTATTTTTTTGCTCTTAAAGTTAATCCTAAATGAAGAGACCAAGATGAGTCAAGAGCTCTTGAAAAAACAAAAAGCAGTCTCTTAGAGAATTGCGTGTTTTTATACATCTTGTGCAGAGGGAAAACTGCGATTAAGGATCTGTAATTTTTATTTGTAGACTTTCAGTTCTGCTCTAATTTGGTTGAAACCATGGGTTCCGTCTTTCATTTCCTTTAAAAAGTGTGTTGCTGAGACCAGCTTCCAGGCATTTCTACACAGTTCTGATGGCTGCAGTTGTGATGACCAAGATCCTGCCAGTGGTTTCCAGGAGGGAGCATCCATGTCTGGATGAAGGGTACCAGTTCATTTGGGAGACTCTCCTGGAGAAAGGGGTGAGTGGTCTAAGGGAGAAATGTGTGATCATGGTGTGTGTAGTCACTCCCACAATCCCATACATAACCAAAGGCTTGATGCCAAATTTAGAAAGTGTAAATGGAAGAAAATGCCATTTCAGCTGCACATGGAGCTGTGGTTGGAATCTGAGTGAAAATCAGAAGATTCAGGGGAACTTGAAAACCACCAGATGCTTGTGGCTCAAAGATTGAAAGTTGCAAAAAAAAGGAAAAAGAAAAAAGGAAGGGGAAAGGAAGGAAGGAAGGAAGAGAGGTAGGAAAGAAGGAAGGGAAAATGGGAGGGAGGGAGGGAAAGAAGAAAGACATATACATCTTCATATACACTCTCAAAAGAAAGGACTGAGTACTATCACTGGCCTTCAGTATTCTCCTTAATATTAATAGTTAAGTGAAAATTCCTTGGTTAAGCATAAAACTGCTGGGGGCATTGTGACATGAGCTCCAAGGTGGAACGTTGGAGATCTTGAAGGATCCCTGATGTTGTTCTTCACATTCTCTGCAGCTCTTGTTACCATTAACCATTTCTCCTGATCTTTGACAGGTCTGAAAGGTATGAGAACACTTGCTATTACTCAGGACTACCTGGAGAATTATCTAAAACACATTTTAGAAAGAAGACAAAAATCCTTTTTATTTTTTAAGCAACCCATTTTTTCAATTATCCTAATTTTGGAAATGAACCAGGAGTGCAAATTCACCTGACTACCCAGCCAAGTTCTCCTTGATGTTAGTATGTCAAATCATATTATTGCTACATATTGCAAGCCGGGTCCCATCCTGGGGAAAGGAATAGAAAGAAAAAAGGGAACAAGTAGGAAGTGTCAGGTAACATTGTTGACACCAGCACCCAGAGGACTCTGAAGCAGCCCTGTCCTGGGACCTTCTCCAGAAAGAGCAGGGAACACAGGGTGGCAGGGCAGAGGGACACAGTGTTACACACATTGTCTCTGCTTCCTTCTATGGCACAGCTCTGGTTAACAACTTCTATCAACAGGAGCCAACAGGGGCCATCACAATGATGTATCTCTTCATCACTGACTGTTTTCCTCAAATAGCCAATTTCACCCGTTTACCATTCTCCCTTTGCATCTCTTGGTCCTGCTGCCCCCACCCCCAGGATTCTATCATGGATTCTTTCATATGAGGCTGAAAATCTCATAAAATTCATATACCCTTTAGACAAATCTTTCAGATTCTCTTTCCTAGGAGATGTGCTAAGTTACTCCGGCTACATTTTTGGAAATATAGTTTTACCCTCTTGTCAGAAGGCTATTAGAAAGGGCTTTTGGGGGCACAACTTACTCTTCCACAACTGTGAGTCAAAAGCCATTTTGCTAAATAAGCTATCTTCTGTACCCTACCTCCTTTCTTCTCTTTTTTCTTTCCTCCCTCCCTCCCTCCTTTCCTTCCCTCCTTCTTTTCCTTCCCTCCCTCTTTTCCTTCCTTTCTTCCTTCCTCTTTCCTTCTTCCCTTCCTTCCTCTCTTCTTTCTTTCCTCCCTCCCTCCTTTCCCCTTCCCTCTCTCTACTCTTCCCTTTCTCCCATCTTCTTTTCCTCCATCCCTCTCTTCCTTCCATCCTAGAAATATGTAGTTTGCAGTCAGATTGCTTGAACTTGAATCTTAAGCACATTCTCTACCTATAAGCTTAGATCATTACTTATAAGCTTAGACACATACCCAGAATTGTGTCACTCTTTCTTCACCTATAAGATGGGATAATAAGTATACCCATCTCATAGGATGGTTCTAACATAAGAGAAAGACCTAAGAATGTCTGGTCTATAGGATGCTGTAATAGGTTGTCACTATTACTATTCCCTATTTATTCAGCTCCTATCAAGAAGCTTTAAGGTATATATTATGATTCACAGTTTGCACATAGATGAAGATTTAGAGGAGGAGACTGACCTGTGGCCACTAGGCCAACAAGGTTCTTGGTGTACAGTTTCTAGAGCTCAGCCCCTGAATTGTGCTGGAAGAACCTGGTTCAACCCTGGACTTGGTTTCTAGTTCTGACTCTTTGTTACCATTGGTTCTGGGCAAGACATTTTTGCTTTTGCTCTTAGCTCATAAAAAAACTAAACAAGATACTGTAAATATGTTCTGGACTCTGAGGCCCCCAGTGAGCTTCAGTTATTCCATTATGCACATACCATGACCACCAAGAGAACGAGGTAAAAAAGAGCCCACCCTGGTGCAGGATGCAGGCTGAGTGGAGATGGGGCAGGTTGCCTGCCATGGGAGGACTGCTGAATCACCTTGTTCTGGAAAGGTCTGAGAAGACCAAGGATGGTTATTACAATGGTTCTTACAATCACTCTTTCCTACTAACAGACAAACTACAGGTCTAGGGGTAACTTTGGGGTATTCCCTTTAGTTCAAAGTATATTAATTTGATGTTACCATGGCAAAAAAAAAAAAAAAAAAGGTGGGCAGAGGCAAGAATGCACAATGCTTTGCTTCTGAACTGCTTGGGATTCCAGACTCATACTTAATAAGGTTGTGAGTATATTGCCTTAAAAACAAACGTGGGCATAAGGTTGCCCCTGACAAGGACCTGGAGAGAGCCATGGTGTTAAATATCTTTGCTTCCCTTCCCTTATGAGGAACAGTTTCTCAGTTGGGAGAAGACAGCTGATCTGTGATTAGTTCACAGAAGCACCAGCTACATGATTCTATAGTTGTTCCAAAGCAGGGTGGAGAAATGGTGAAAAGAAAGCAATCACAGGGAGACATTTATTCCCTGAAGAAGTCAGAATGGACAAATAGAGACTGGTGCTGGCCTCAGGTGACAAAGCAAAGTTACAGAAACCTCTGCAGCACAAGTTAGCATCAAACCACGGTGAATCTTCAGGTGCTGCTGCTCTCTTACCTGAAAAACATTGCTCCCTATTCTTCATCTCCCCTCATGTATTTATTGGGTTTTTGCATTATTCCATTTGCTTAAAGTTCCAGAGAATAAACATAATAACACCATTGATTGAAATAATTAAAACAGATAGCTTCAATAATAGCAGAACTGAACAGCAATGAAACAGCAGAACTCTCCTTTATCATTCTCTGGGGGGTTGATTTTAAAAAGTCAACTCAACTCTGTATATCTTGAATATGCTCTGCTGTTGGAAATGGCAGTGTCATAATGGAAAAAACACTGGGCATAGTGCCTTACTCTCATCAAACTGAGAGACCTGCATAAGACACCTATCAAACCCAACCCTATGACAGGGAACCCCTTCTCCTTTTGGAAGAAACCTCCTCTAAGAATTCAATTATATCCTGGAAGCAAAGTGCAGTGCACCATGCTGGGTACACTCTTGGTGCTTCCCTTTTAGTAATTAGATATTTTTTAATTCAGAGAAGATGAATAAAAGAATAGTGAAGTTTATTCTCCTTTTAAAGGAAAACTCCCTTATAGGAAAAAAAAAAGGCACTTGTTCAGCCAATGAAGACTTACATAATGAAAAAAGTATAGCTATGTCCCTACCGTTCTCTACAAAATGGGACTTTGTCTAAGTAAATGCTAAGACATAATGTGCAGGTTCTTGATGGAGGTCAACAGTCAATGTCAGGCCTTGTTACAAAAATAATAACCCTGGCAACTAGGCAGCACTTTTAGCACATGCATTTTCCTCAGTTTGCACACCTTTCTTGGTTAATTTGACTTTTACTCTTGGGTAGGGGTTTCTGCTCTACCACCCCAGGGACCTATGTTGTGCTGTACGAGTGGAGAATCTATACAAGGTGTTCTTTTATAAAAGCTTTATATCCTAGTTTCCCTTTGATATCTACTTTTGAGGAATCAGAGACTCTTCTCACTTATATCTCCTTTCCCAAATACAACATTGGCTTGTTAGAACAGAATGTCAGAAGTCCAAGGATTGTGGCAATGGAAATGCATGTGGTTGTCTAGGGGCTCTGACCCCTCTGCCAGCCCCACTATGGTTGATAACAGCCTCCAGTGACAACGCAGGGCCCTAGCCTAGATCAGCAAATCTACTCTGTTCATCTGAAGAGCAGGACCCACAGGATTATCCAGGTAAACAAAACTCAAAGGACTTCAATAGCTGGACACTGTGCAGCCCTTCAGAACCACTTTGAAGCTCATGGAATGATAAACTCTGGGTCTCAGATTTTTATTGTTTAATTTGAGACTTTCAACTCAGTCAGGAGTCAGGTAATTTCTACTAAAGTAACAATAATTGTCATGCTTTTTCTGGGACATCTGTAGTAGAAGCATTGTCTAGGATCTTAGAAAAATGAAAACATCTATCAAAAATATTTCCACAATGAATCAAGGTAAGTTTAGGTGTGTAAATTTCCCTTTCTTCATGCGTCAAACATTGACCCCTTTCCATTTGAAAACCCACATGGTTATGAATGCCAGCTGCACATCTGAATCATTGCCTGGTAACCAGGTATCTGTGTGCACCCAGTGCTTTGGCATATCTCAGCTGAGTCAGTTACAATGGGCCCCATCTCAGACAGATGATGATTGGAAGGTTTGTGACTCAAACGGCATAATGCATTCCTTTTTGTCTGCCCCAGGAAGATGCAACCTGATACAGAGCTAGTGACTCAACTTGTCAAGACAATCAGTTTGATTCCTGTAACAGTCTTCATAAGTCACAGCAGAGAAAGGACTGCAAGACAAAATTTAAGTTTTAAGCTCTACTCAGACAACAGTTGAGAAAATAAGAATTCAAGTTTAAGAAAAGTCTATCACTTTGGAAGCATTTAAGAAGAGATCCGATTTGAAGGATGACATCATATATACAAGCTGTACTGCACTTGATTGTAAAAATGAACCAGGTAGTGACTTAGTGGGGCCAAGCTGACCTTCCTAAAGAACTTAAATTCTGCTGTCCTGTGAAGTGGGCCTTTCTCAAAAGCACTCCCCAATCTCTCTAGGTCGGGATTCTACCAACAGATGCCAGCTTTATTCATTTTACAGTTTGTAGAGAGGTGAAGAACAACAGCTCCCAATGATAATTCAATTTAATTTTTTTTCAACTCAAAAGATCCCCATTAATATATTTCTTTTGTAAGTTATTCAGCATTTTCTTCCATTGTCATGTGGTATTTCAGGTATAATGCTAAAACCTTCAAAAAATAATAAATATCTATTCAAAACATTATGCACGAAACACCAATAAATGTATTTTAAATTATTTAAGACTCTTGGAAGTGTTGAGGTAGGTATTAATGCACAGTCAGATGAGGAAATTGAGACTGGAGAGGTAGCTGAGGTTATACCTACACATTGCTAGACTCTCTCTAAAAATCAACAAGTTCAGGTTTATAATGCAGACTTGTCTTCCTTTTCACTCTGAATAACAAAAGAAGCTCTAACAAGACATGAAAATCATACTTTATAGAAACTGACTTTAAAACTGAGGGTAGGACTAATTGAAAGGCCTATGGTTATATGCACATAAACATTTCCTATATACATAATTTTTGTACATTTATATATTAATGTCTCTAATCCATTTTCTTCACTTTTATTGTAATCCAGTTTAGATTACTATTATAAAAGTACCCATAGACTGAGTGGCTTAAACAATAAACATTGGTTTCTCATAGTTCTGTAAGCTAGAGGTCCAATATCAAGACTGAGAGATTGCGACTGGTCAGAGTTAGTTTCCTGGTTCTAACCCTGAGGACTTTTGTGTCCTCATGTGGGGGAAGGGTTGAGAGATTTCTCTCTTGACATCTATTCTAATACACTGATCCCATTCTTGAAGGCTCCACCCTATGACCTCATCACATCTCAATATCACATCTCTTAATACCATCACCTTGGGAAATAGGATTTCAATATATGAACTGGGTAAAGGGGGGGATGTGACAAACATTCACCCATAATACTTTCTAAATAGGTTATTTTAGATTTTCTCCATCTGACATCTTGAGTCAGATATTTTTGTTGTAGAGGACTATTCAGTGTGCTATAGGGTTTTAAGCAGTGTCCTTGGCCTTCACTCACTAGCCATCAAGGTACTTGCTTCAGTGTGACAAGCAAAAATGTCTCTAGACATTGCCACGTGTACCCTGCTGGGGTAAAGTAGGGGAGTAAAATCAACCCCAGATGAGAGCTACTCGTTCATATATTTTAGAGGCACCATCATATCCCTCAGGTTCCATGTGTTAATTTGAAACATCTAATGAGTTCATGGTGAATATTCCAACATTCCTTGCTGGATGGGAGGAAATCACACCATTTCCTTCTGTTCTAACTCCCCAGCAACATTCACCAACGACCTTCTCGGTTCTCAGTACAGTTCCTCTATACTGAGATTCTTTAACCTTCCTTTTAGCTGTAGTCTGATACCTTTCTGTATTACTCAGGGCTCTGCTCACCAAAGGTCTGGTCTTAAACACGGCCTGACAATATGGCATGACATTTTGTGCTACGCCTGCAAACTTCTTTCAGATTAGATTTCTTTTTCTCTTAGTCAAAGCACTATTCTTGACCTGCAGTCACCTCTGGGCTGAATCCGTATTTCTCATTTTGGAATAGAAGATCACAAGAAACTGACTTTAGTAGAGTATGGTTTTCCCTAGTCCTCAAAATATTTTTTAAGCAGACCATGTGGTGATAAGACCTATTGCATTCCTGATGTAGGTACAGTAGAAAAGTACATGTTGGGGTATGTAAACATGAAACTTGCCATTTTCTTTGGTGGTAAACACTTGTTTCCATTCTGCAGAGGGCCCTGAGCACAGGGACTGATGTAGCTGGAGCTGATGGCCCCAGCAGGCAGAAGATCTGCTCCTGTCCTTTCTGGGAAGTTGGTCAGGAGTTTCTCTAAGAACCTGTCTCTCTTGTGCTACAACAGCTCCATCACCTTCTGCTATCACCTTTCATAATGTAATGTAGATCCACCATGCAGCAGTTATCTACAGGACTCTGCTTCCTATATACAACTTTCTGGACTAATTTCTGCTTCTTTTCCACTGAAAAGTAGATCTGAGGCCATTCTGATCCATTTGTGAGAAAGTTGCAAAGGACCAAAACCTAAAATTAATTTATTAATTAATTTAATTTTGGCAGTAGTGGGGTTTGAACTCCACTACCTCCAGTCCTTGCAAGAATCAAATTTCTTATAACTGACCCTGGTGTATGTTTAGTCTTGGTGTTTTTCTGTTTGGTTTGCCTACAAGGGAGTTCAACTCATATTCAGAGTGAAAAGATGAGATTGACTTAAACAGGATTGAAGACAATACTAAAGTCTCTCAAAAGGAGGACTAATCTGAAAGAAGATATCCTGTGTTCTTTTTAAATGAAGTGATACTATTAGATAATGTAATTTTTTGCAATGGAAAATATTTAGTTTTGTGAAAAATGCTATGAGTAAATTTAATAGGAATATATATGCTTTTTTTATTCTTGATTTTTGAAGTTTGAACTTAGGGCCTCATGCTTGCTAGACAGATGCTCTACCTCTTGACTTGATCTACAGCACTTTTTGCTTTACATATTTTTCAAATAGGGTTTTATATTTATGCTCTGACCATCCTGGGCAGCAATCCTCCTATTTATATTTCCCTTATTGCTGGGATTTACACAGGCGTGTACCACCACACCTGGCCTTTATTGGTTGAGATAGGGTCTCTCAACTATTTACCCAGGTTAGCCTGGATTTTGATCCTTCCACTCTACCTCCTGAGTAGCTAGGATTAATAACATGAATCACCACACTTCAACATTCTATATAAAATTTATTGTTGATAAATATCAAGGAACAATGCCCTCAAGAATATACTGAAAGGGAGAATCTGGCATTACAAAACATCTTCCTATATAATAATAACTATTCGCTGTGAGATCTAACCCTCTCAAAAGTATTTTAAACATTATACAACTCTGTATATGTATACACATGCATGTGTGAGTGTGTATATATACCTGTTTTCCTTAGTCAATTATGTGATATCTTACACAAATAAATATGAAAGAGATAGTCTTTGTAACTAAGATCCAATGTTAGACTCTTCCAGAGTATTTTTATTAAGTCACTTTGATATCATATTCTTTGCTCCAGTACAGTTTGATAAAGTGAGTCTAATTTGTTTTCCCATTTTTCTCCATTTGAATGAAACTAAACTGAAATGCTTGGAACAGCTTTAGTGATCCCATGAATTTCCCATCTGAAAGCTCCATGACATATGACTGAGCTCAGATGCTGAAAGAAACCCAACTCCAGGAATCAGACTTCACTGGACCAAGCAAAACATGCAACACAGTCTGTGTCTCCACTCATCCTTAAAAAGATGTGAAGGACAGGAGGGCCTTTCCTGCCAGACAGCCTGGTCTGTAGCCTGGGATCCCAGCAGGAGGCAGGGGCCTAGGATACATTTCTGAGCTATATATGGGTGGTCCTGGGGAGGGGGGTGGAGAAAGAATATGTTTTCTTTATCAAAAACTGTTTCTTATGTTCAAATGTGTTTTCTGCATTTACCTGCAGTCTCAACTTAGTTTGACACAGGGGGATAAAAGCATAGAAAACATTATCACTTATGTTTTGAATAAAGGCAGTGTACCTTTGTCAATTAAACCATTCATGTTCTCTTTCTCTTCTTCCTATCCATGTCTTCTTCTCTTTACACTTTCAGTATCTTGTTAAAAACATTTAAACATTCACTGTATGTGCAAGATAATACTTCATTATATATAGTTTAGAATTTTAAATATATCAACAGATATATTTAAATAAATGTGAGAGAAGCAACACATTTGAAAACTTCATACTTAATTCCTCCACCCCAAGACACACAGAGGTAGATAGTTAGATAAGTAGATGATAGAGACAGAGGGAGAGAGAGAGAGAGAGAGAGAGAGAGAGAGAGAGAGAGAGAGAAAGAAAGAACGATACATAGATACATAGATACATAGATATGAGCAGGCAAGCAGATGGATAAAGAAGCATAATAGTGCAAGCAGAAAATGGTCAGAGGAAAATCAAACATGGAAGTACAAAAGTAAAAGAAAAATTGGGCTTCAATTTCTCTATTTCAATGACTTCTCCAGTATTTAAGTAGTCTGAAGAAGTACTCAGCATACATAAGTTAATCAAATATTCCTTAAAAAGTCACATCCAGAAACACAAAGGAATTTCATTTCCTTTGTTAAATAAATATCAGTTATGAAAAAACCAAATATCCTAGACCACAGAACTGTTTTCAATCCTTGAACAAGGGCTAAAAAACATATGATTTGCTTTGGGGAGAAAGAAAGGGCAACCTTTTTGTTTCCTTCAGCATTAATTTGATTTGTACAAAGCAGTGAGTGTTCAGTTCTGGGAGAGGCCTCCATCTAAAGACTGCCTATGGCAAGCTGAGCTGTTCCCCTTCCCTGGGGACAGGGCCCTGACCCCATCTAGGTGCTCACCAGCTGGCTGGAGGGTCAGCTGTCATCCCCAAGTGGGCCATTTGTTTGAATTGTCTCCCTAATGTCACTAAGCTGCTGCTAAAGAGGTGTAGAATACAATTTTAGGCTTGGTCTTATACTCCAAGAATTGTGTCAAGTTCCCTATCATTTTATTTCTTTCTTAAAATATCTGTATAAACTTAATTAGCAGAGAATCAACTGTCAAATTCATCTTTTTTAAATCAAATCTTGAATGGCTGTATTTGATTTTGTTTTGGATTTCTGAGTGGTTCTGATTTTATTAGGTGAATCTCCCAGTGTTCCGGGCCCCATTCCCTGACTGCTGTCCGAAAGATCAGGAACAACTATTTTTAGATCGAGGCAAGCCCCAGAGCCTCAGATGGCAAATTATTAGCTGTGACTTTAAAAATAGTCATAGAGACACTTTGGGAACATCTTATTTCTCCATAGCATATGAACTTGAATTTAGATCCCACCTTTGTGGTACAAATCCCCATAAATAGAATGAAACAGACCACAAATGCTACCCATATTTGATGTTTCTGGGTTAAACCAAAGCTCTAAAAAGTTCTTGTTGGGCCACATTAATGGCTCACAGTGTTTGGGTAAACAAATGGTAAGGTTC